GGGGGGGGGGCGATGTCCCATGAAAGCTTTTCTGCTTCCCGAGATTTGCTGAGATACTTTAGAAAAGAAATGGGCAAATGAGAGCCTCCTTTCTCTGGCCCACCTCCCAGGTAAAGTGGCAGCACATGAATGTTAGAGAGCCCAGAGCTTAAGAGAAGAGGGCATGCTACACCAGTGCTGTATGCCAGCAACTCCCAAGGTACCACTGCATGTCCTATAGTAGGTCTCAACATGCACAGCACAGTTTCTTTCAATTCTAGCAGCTGAAAAGCCGGTGTTGCTTTATCATGCCCTGATGTGCATGTCAACACCCGATTTTCTGTTCTTGCTACAGAAAGTCACTTGCTGACGGGTGGGCCACAGTCACACCTTCACCCCCAGTCATATGTTATGCCACACCCCTTCACTCGTTGGACCCACAGAAGGGACTTACCCCACCACTAGCAGACCACAATTTTAAAACTGCTGTTTTAATATATTCACCTTTAGTTTTCTTCTGTAAAAAAGGCTATGTTACGGTACATAGGAAAGCTGGACAGTGCTGTTTGTGTTTCCTGCTAGGAAAACACAGCCACAGGGGTCTTCACTTGAGTCTCTGCTGTGCTTTGGAAGACATTGAGCACACAGGTTTGATAGCAGATATCACCAGAGCTTGCTTCCTAGAGCTATGTCAACTTGCAGCTGACAGGACACTGAAAGAGCTGATACCATCGTCACTATGCTGACCTGCTCCTCAGCTTCAGGATACAAGCACATCACACAACTGTGCTCTGCGGGTATAACTCAGGATAAGGAACATGAAGTCCCAGTGCTGTGATGTACTTTTGCTCCACGTACTACGTAGAACAAGTCTTGAACTAATTCATTTTGCATTTTTTTTTCCTCCTCCATGTCAGTGGGGGATTCTGGAGCTTTTAACTGATTTCACCTGGGATTGCAGGTAGATTTGGTGATTGAGGCTGATGTGTATCATGGGCCCTTCCCCTCCCAGGATGTTCTCCAGCACATGACCCCTGTAAGAGCAGGAGTTACCTTCTAACTGCTGGAAGGGCCCCGAGGTGGTTGCTGAAGGGTGAGGCTCATGTGTGTCCTCACCAACAAACACACAAACATAAATACTGAGGGGGTTTATTCCAGTCTGGTGAGGTGTCTCTAAACGTTTGTGTCTAATCAGAACTTTTGCTGAATTACATGCAAAATAGTGGTAATTTTCCCTATACTTCAAAGTTACTTGAAGGAATAAAATATTGTGTGGCATGCATTGAATTTATCCCAGGGTGCCTCATAAACATCTGCTCACTATAGGAATGTCAGCTGGGTGTTTCTGACATGATTTCAAAGTCAGGCTGTATGCATTTAATATGGCTTTCTTTAAAGGCCTTTAATTAACCTTACACTGCAGATATATGACACAGGTATCAGCACACAGGCACAGACTCTGACAGAGAAGCATGCCTGCGCATGTGGCTGGGGACATCCTCCTGCTTTTATTTTGGCATTCTCTACTTATTTACATTGGAACACTTTTGACTTTGCTACATATTTTTCCAGCTTTTTTCACTGCAGTGCAGGACACACAGTCAATGGCTGACTGGGAATCTGAAAGCACCGGGTCTGCATTATTAATCTGGGAGCTTTATTTTTCAGACACGTGCTGGAGACACCAAAGACCTACCACCTCACTGTCTTCTGTTGCTGCCAACATGGGGTGGATCATCACCTTTTTAATTTTTCATCAGCTGAATGACAGACTATTGTTTCTCTGCTTTGAAAACCATCACAGTTCAATATGAAATAACATTAAATCCTTTTTTCACATAGTGGGCAGTTGATGGCTTGCCTGCTGTCTGTGCAGTGAGATAATAGATTCATTTAGCAGTCTAGAGGTGCTTTTCCTTAGTTGGCAAAAAAAGCCCATGGATGCCATCACTGAAAGCAAACAAGAACCTTAGAGTAACTCACAGTCACAACTGGTGGCAGGACAAACATGCAACAGTGCTCAGAACTTGCAATGAAATTTATGTCTGAGTAACAGGAGGAAGGTCCATTGCCAGTAAACATTACTACAGCCATACCCTACAACATACCTGCATCCAGAGAAAGAGGAATCAGTAGCAGAAAGCAGAGAAGCAAAGCCACGCACTGCCTGGAAACCATGATGAACCCTGCGAGCCAGTGTCCTGGTTGCGTATTGACATTTCAGCAAGGACTGTTTGGCCAAAGAGCTCAGCTTCAAATGCTCGGAGCCAGAGGAGGGGCTGGCGAGTCATGGAAACAGAAAAAGATCCATGACAGCCTGGTGAGCTGAGCAGAAGGGCACTTGCAAATCCTGCAATGTGTCCTTTTCAGACCAGCAGGGAGCTTGGTTTTGAAGTGTGCTCTCCTGACCTGTGCAAAGGCTATGCCGATCACACAGGCTGCTGGATCTTCAGTTTTCATCTAACACACCTTCTTCATGAGAAAAATAAATCCTGGGACCCTGTGTCTGCATGACTGGCACTAACTTGGCCAAATAACCCTGCATTCAGAGAGCAGTGATGTGATATTTATCTTGAATCAGCCGTCACGTCAGTGCTTTGGAGTATGATTGAACCACTGACATCTGTCTTTTCCCAGTTCTCCATCACCAGCTGAAATTTATTTGGAGGCACTAATTAACCCGTAAGAGTCACCCTACACTGTTTCTTTCCATCTTTGCTGCAGGACCCATGTGGCCTGCGCAAGTTGTACCCGCTGGAAGAGGCATTGAGCTGATCCATGTTATATTTCATTAGTAATGACAGGGGTTTGAGGGGCTAATCTGCAGGCAGTGTTTTATCTGGAACATAAGCAGTCCTCTGATTTAATGGAAATCAATTAATGGTATCAGACTAGAGAGTTGACAACATTCTTGTGGAAATATTTACTGAAGATAGCAGCAAGGTAAAGAGCATGTTTGCCAATGAGAAGTGAAGCGCTGCTTGAAGGCTGGAGTGTTTTCCAGGCCGTTCTCCCCTTCCTGTGTGGAAAGGAGGAGTGTTGGCTCTGCATCTTGAACGCTTCAGCAAAGAAAAGCATCAGCTAGATTTTTACTTTGCTGCCAATGCTCAGGGTAACTCCTTGCAGAAGTCGTGATTGCTTAGGAAGGCTGGGCCCCTGGCTGCTTCGCATGCTGTCCTGTTCAGTGGCGGTACACACAGCTGGATGTTCTGTTTTGAAATGGCTTTCCCAAGAGGGGGCATCTGGGCACTTCTCTGGATCGCAGCCTGGCTAATTCCCAGCAGCCCAGTTCCTGGGGTGGTTGGGGACGGACGCCAGGTCCTGTCCCAGGGCAGAGGAAGGAGGATGCTTACTGGAATACAAAAGGAGCTACAGCAGGCCCATGCTGTTCCCATCTCTGCGCTTTGGGAACCCTCTCCACACCTCACAGCCTGACAACATGATCCTCATTCCTTGTTCGCTTGCCTATGTCAGTGAGTGGAAAATAGCAAGGGCATGTTCATCTTAGCAAGACCAAAGCTGAGCTTGTTGGAGCTGCTTGAAAATCTCTCTTGGTCTCACCCTCTTGGGGAAAGATCTAGCCCCATCTAGCTGAATGAGTCACGCAGACCAGAGCATGAGGCTGTGCCTCCTGCCCCTGAGGCCAGGCCGCGTCTGTACCTATTGTCCCCTGCAGCTGTGTTTCCTTAGGTGGGGTGGGTATCGTCGCCCTGCCAAGGGAGGGTGGGATTGCTGCCACTCCACAGTGGCATCACAGCACCTCTGCACCACGGCACCCTTCACTTTCTCATCTTCTTCCTTCATCGTGTGCAGATCCTGCACATCCTTTAGGACTGATGCAGTATTTTCCTTGTCTTCCTTCCTCTGTTGGCATCCCTTAAACATGAAAGATTTTGCTTTTATTACTTGGGAATGCAGCCAAACACTCAGTTATTATTTTTTAGAGACCAGGGATAAAGCTCAAGTGCTGGGAACAGCAGTCAGTTCATATGGGGACAGTCTCCTTCCAAGAAAACTTCATGCAGTCAGGTTTCATCAGGGGTGACTGTGCCCATGAGGAGGGACACTGAGGATTCAGCAGTCCCAAGACTTCATTACAGCTCTTCTCTCATGAACTTCATATTCACAGATCTTGTCTCAAAGCTGTATCCTACTAACTTCAGCTGGGCCAGTTCTTTGGTTAAAGAGCTGTGTTTTTAAAGATCTCCCCCTCCTTACTGTCTTAGACCCCAGCCAGAGGAGTGAACACCAGTTCATTTGCTTTTCTTTGCCAGAAGATCCCCAAGTCTTGCTTAATTCTTCTTCTGTGTGGTCTTGCTGTAGTTTATGAGAATTGCCCTGGTATTCTGCTCTATAAATCTCCTTGCCAGTGCAGCTTTAGCCTTGGCTTATGTTTTCTGAGCAATTCCAAGAAAAATAATCCACTGTTCAATTAAAAGTGAATATATATTAATGCAAATATACACCCCTGCTGCTCATGTGTGCTACTAGAATCAGTTTGGGGACAGCTGTTCAGAAAATATGAACTAGGGTATTTTTTTAGTGTATGCTTTGGATGTGCCAAAGTTGCTTTATTTCCAAAAAAACCCCATGTTAAAATAATTAAACATGAAAAATGTTACAAGGTGAAATAAAAATCTAAAGCAGAAACATTTTCTGGGAAGACATGAGGAACTGATGTCTCAGAACATACTGTTCTTTATTTTTGTTGTTTCCTACTGACATTTTTCAAAGAAAACTCTTAGAATTTTTCTATTTTTAGTTTCATGTTTGGGGTTGAAGACAGGTATGGAAGCTATTGGGAACTGTGCAACTTGATCTGATCCGATGGGTCACTGGCCATTTAAACATGAGCTCTCTAGTCAGCACTCAGGAGCAATTTAAAGAAATAAATCAATGATTTCTCTTTCAAAGAGGCCATAAAAGATCTTATGAGTAAGCTGACAAGGCTGTGTCTGGGTAGGAAACGTTTAGGAACAAGCTGCCTCATCAATGTATGGAAAATTCAATTTAAATCTCCAACAACAATAGTAACTTGCCATCATTCATTTATCAGACCAATTAAAAGCAAGCCAAGCCTGTGATCAAGTTAATAATTTCCTCAAGTTAATAATCAATAAATCTACAAATATCATGCTGCTAAGTTTTAAAGCAAATTACTTGTGTTTTAGACCTCATAAAAGAACTATTTCTTTCTAGGAGAAAATTACTTGCCTGCTTGACTGAGTTCTGTATCCCCATATAGCAATTATTTTCCTAAAGAGGAAGTAGAAGATGGGGAGATATTTCTGATAATTTTTGTATGACCAGCTCTGGATACAAGTGCTTAACATTTGATTTTATTTTTTAATCTTGATGTGGGTTCTTCCTCTTCTTTTGCTGCCTAAGGAGAAGGATATCTGAAGCTACCTCAATAATAAAGGAAGCAAGACATATAAATTTATTTTGCACTGCCTTTTCTAATAAAGGCAATGTGCCCTGAAGTTTGTCTGTTTAATGCCACCTATACCAGCTGGTAAAGAGAGATGTTAACTCTCCTACAGACCTTCTCTTGACTGTGTACTGAGACCATCACAGCTGCAACAGCACCACTGGTGAATCTGTAGTCTTTTAAATACAGCTGGGGCCTTTGCTGTCTTGTCAATTGATGTGGAATGAATAAATACAAAAATCTGAAAGGTGATTAATAGATTAACTTCAATTGATTTGCCACAGATAATGTTTCAGCACCAAACCAGCTAGTCTGAATAAATAAATAAAAATTCAGAATAAAAATGCAAAACTCCATCCTTGGTTTTCTACTACCATCTTTAGGCTGCTGGTGGTACAGGCAGCGGCAGCCACAGCAGTTCCTGGTGAGGTGCAAAGATGCCTAGCGAGCATATTTCAGTACATGATCTCTCCTTGTCTTACTCCTATAGGGACGTAACCTTGTGGGTGACTTGGGCCCGTCTCCACAGGGTCAGAGCCACGGAGGAGCTGGCAGAGCTCCTTCTGGTTTGCCCTTGCCCCTGCTGCGACTTGGCCTCTCCTTGCGAAGGGCTGAGGGACTCATCTGCTTGCTACGCTGTTAGGTTGGATGAGGAAACATTACCACTTTGCAGCCTGCTTTTTGTGTACACCACGCTGTTTTTTATTTTCTCATGACTAGACCTAGTGCCACCCCCAGATTTTTCAAGAAAAGGCTTGAGCTTTGGGTGAGGATGCTGCAGTGCGAACGAACCGAATGCCCTTTGGACTAAGCAAAACAGTTGGAGCCCATTGGGGGGGTGGGGAGCGTGTGTGTTTATTTACATATGACAAGTTGTTTTTGAGCTAACCATGTAGAACAGCACATGAGCAGCTGAGGAGGGAGCGGATGCCAAAACAGCTGTACTGTCCTTGTCTATGGTCCGACAGAGCCCTCCAGCACCTTGCGGCCCTTGGGCACCCCTTGCCCCTGCCACGCTGCCTATGGAGGGTGTCACTGCCGGGGACTTAGAAGAGGCTGTGGCCACAGGGGTGAGTGTGGGTGCTAGTGCTCAGGGAGGGGAATGCTGCACCCGTTCTGGGAGCTGATCCAGCCAAAAGCTGCCAGGGGAAAGGTGGGGAGATAACTTAGTCACTCCCTGCAGTGAGCGGGACTAAGGGTGCAGCATTTACGATGCAGGAGCGGAGTGCGGAGGGGAGTTTGCTGCTGGACTGGCAGAAGCTCCATGCAGCTTCTACTTCAGCATAAGACATGCGGTGTTTTTTCAAGTTAAAAAGTCTTAGTTCCCTCTCTGTGCTCCTCACCCCATTGCACCAACCAGCTCCATACACTCCCCTCGAAGAACAACCCACCTGCTGTGCTCTCCCCTCTCTACCTTTTGATCTCTGGCTGACGTGTTACAGCCCCTCACATACCTTGCCCTGCCAGCAAGCCAGTCCCCCACTGTCCGTTGCTCCAGGTTGGCACAAGAAGTGTCTGCTTGGGTGCCTGGCCAGGATGTGAAGGAGCCTGTGGTGGGCTGGGTGCCAAACACCACTTACATGCTTAAAAACTGCCTTTCAGTGATGCAGAGCAATGCTAGCATCAGTTAAACAAAGAGGCATTTGATAATTTGACAGCCATTTTGGAAAATAAGGACTACTGGTCATCCTCCTCAGTGCTGTTACTTCCTCTTAATCAGCTGGTTATTAAAAACTGATTATCCACAGAGGTGGCAGCTGAGTTTCTGCTTTCTGAGGGGATCATCCACAGAGAAAGCAGGAT